AACAGAATCATTGAAGCCTATTTTATACATTCTTCATTTTTAACTTTTTCTTAATGACACAGGGCCATTATTGTGAACTTCAGTTACTATGCAAGGTTATAATGTGTTGTTTGGTGCTTTCATGTCTTTGTTTGTTTTTTAATATATTTTCTTCGGGAGTCAATTGTTAACTTAACACAACAGTTGTGCCTACTTCTAATCGTTCCAGCAGACTTTGTTTTGGTTTGTTGCTTCTTATGTCATGTGGTTTTAGTCGCTAAGTCAAGTCCGACTCTTGCAACCCCATGGACTATAACCCACCAGGCTCCTCTGTCCGTGGGATTTCCCAGGCAAGAATGATGGGATGGGTAGCTCCCATTCCCTTCTCCAGGGGATCGTCCCAACCCAGGAATCAAACCCAGGTCTCCTGCACTGCAGGCAGATTCTTTACCAACAGAGTGAAGCCCCAGTATCATATAATGTAGACTTGACAACTTATAATCACAGTTGATAGAACTGTGGATAATGAGGGTATTCCTGTGGCTGATGGGGAGGCCCTAAATAGCAAACTGTATGACAGTCATGTTGGAAAGATGGGATTTTATTCCTTCAGATAACTGAGTACTGTTTGTTTTTTCCCACAAGCTGTGTTCTATAATTGTTTGAGTTACCCATATTTTATATCCTTTATTTTAAAAAAAAAATGAAAAAACCCACAAAACTTGATGTACTTGTTTTAGTCACTCAGTCGTGTCTGACTCTGTGACCCTATGGACTGTAGCCGACCAGGCTCTCTCCATGGAATTCTTTAGGCAAGAATGCTGGAGTGAATTGCCATTCCCTTCTCCAGGGAAACTTCCCAAACAAGGGATGCAACCCAGGTCTCCTGCATTGCAGGCGGATTCTTTACCATCTCAGCCACCCATAGTCCACCTAAAATATTTTTATAAAACACTTTATATGAAGGATGGCGATTTTTACAGTTTTTTTTTCTAAAGACAGTTTAAATTAGAAGTTCAGGTCCTGGATAAAAGGAGTTAGAAGTAAACTAATTAAATTGAATGATTGACAGTTCTTAATGCATGACATAAAGTCTGTTCTGCCTATTAAGGTATTTCTAATATCAGGGCTCTACTAATTTTATTTGTAGAGTGAGTCCCTATATTCCAGGGCAGAAGGGTAGTTGGAAAATGAAAGAAGTATAAAAAAAAATGCTGTGATAGTGTGTTTTGGGAGGTGTTGGTAATAATAAAAAAATAGCTGACTTAGCTCTTAAAAAGATATATTTAATTTACTTCATCTATTTCTCCTATAATAAAGTAGCTCCCAGGAGCTCCCCTGCTTCCATGCCTGCCATATCCTTCATAAAAACCAAAAGCTTTTAGTTGCCTCTTAGATATAGCGCTCTTTCAGAGTACAAAACACAGTGACATATTAAGTTTCAAAATGTAAAGCAAACTTTAATAGGATCTCTTTCTGGCAGCAGTCAAGCTGTAGTTTATTTACAATATAGTATTAAGCCATCATAACACACAGTGTCAGATGAAATCATGTCACATAGACTTTTTCTACAAAGTGGAATATTGCAATTAATTTATTCAAGTATTCCAGTCCCTCTTGTATTGACTCTATACATGCAAATACACATCAGTTCAGTTCAGTTCAGTTCAATCACTCAGTTGTGTCCAACTCTTTGTGACCCCATGGACTGCAGCACACCAGGCCTCCCTGTCCATCACCAACTCCCAGAGTTTACTCAAACTCTTGTCCATTGAGTCGGCGATGCCATCCAACTGTTTCCTCCCCTGTCGTCCTCTTCTCCTCCTGCCCCCAATCCCTCCCAGCATCAGCGTCTTTTCAGATGAGTCAGCTCTTGACATCAGGTGGCCAAAGTATTGGAGTTTCAGCTTCAACATCAGTCCTTCCAATGAACATTCAGGACTGATTTCCTTTAGGATGGATTGGTTGGATCTCCTTGCAGTCTAAGGGACTCTCAAGAATCTTCTCCAACACCACAATTCAAAAGCATCAATTCTTCAGCACTCAGCTTTCTTTATCATCCAACTCTCACATCCATACATGGCTACTGAAAAAACCACAGCCTTGACTAGATGGACCTTTGTTGGCAAAGTAATGTCTCTGTTTTTTAATATGCTGCCTAGGTTGGTCATAACTTTTCTTCCAAGGAGTAAGCGTCTTTTAATTTCATTAATACAGTCACCATCTGCAGTGATTTTAGAGCCCCAAAAAATAAACTCTGTCACTATTTCCACTGTTTCTCCATCTATTTGCCATGAAGTGATGGGACCAGATGCCATGATCTTAGTTTTCTGAATGTTGAGCTTTAAGCCAACTTTTTCACTCTCCTCTTTCACTTTCATTGAGAGGCTCTTTAGTTCTTTGCTTTCTGCCATAAGGGTAGTGTCATCTGCATATCTGAGGTTATTGGTATTGCTCCCAGCAGTCTTGATTCCAGCTTGTTCTTCATCCAGCCACCATGTACTCTGCATATAAGTTAGATAAGCAGGATGACAATATACAGCCTTGATGTACTCCTTTTCCTATTTGGAACCAGTCTGTTGGTCCATGTCCAGTTCTAACTGTTGCTTCCTGACCTGCATGCAGATTTCTCAAGAGGCAGGTCAGGTGGTCTGGTATTCCCATCTCTTTCAGAATTTTCCAGTTTATTGTGATCCACACAGTCAAAGGCTTTGGCATAGTCAATAAAGCAGAAATAGATGTTTTCCTGGAATTCTTGCTTTTTCAATGATCCAGTGGATGTTGGCAATTTGATGTCTGGTTTCTCAGCCTTTTCTAAAACCAGCTTAAACATCTGGAAGTTCACAGTTTACGTATTGCTGAAGCCTGGCTTACAGAATTTTGAGCATTACTTTACTAGTGTGTGAGATGAGTGCAATTGTGCTGTAGTTTGAGCATTCTTTGGCGTTACCTTTCTTAGGGATTGGAATGAAAACTGACCTTTTCCAGTCCTGTGGTCACTGCTAAGTTTTCCAAATTTGCTGGCATATTGAATGCAGCACTTTCACAGCAGCATCTTTCAGGATTTGAAATAGCTCAACTGGAATTCCATCACCTCCACTAGCTTTGTTCATAGTGATGCTTCCTAAGGCCCACTTGACTTCACATTCCAGGATGTCTGGTTCTTGGTGAGTGATCACACCATCGTGATTATCTGGATCGTGAAGATCTTTTTTGTACAGTTCTTCTGTGTATTCTTACTACCTCTTCTTAATATCTTCTGCTTCTATTAGGTCCATACCGTTTCTGTCCTTTATTGAGCCCATCTTTGCATGAAATGTTCCCTTGGAATCTCTAATTTTCTTGAAGAGATCTCTAGTCTTTCCCATTCTAAGCCCTCATATAAGCTTTTACTAGTTTTAACAAGCAAGTTCTAGCCTACCCTTTTTCACAATTTTGACTTTTCTTTTAGTTTTGTTTTAATGTTTATTCTTCTGAATTCATTCATGTGCATGAGTAAATAGGGACAGATAGATATAGATAAAGCCATAGAGATATTAGAACGGAATTATTTTATCATGATCTAAGTCTGCTCTTCTAGCACATAACTACTAGAAACAAAGGCAAATATCAGGATTGGAAGGGCAAAAAAAGTGTCTTACTTAACGACGCTTAACCTATTATATGATCCTTTTCCAACCCAAATGTTTGTTGAAATGGTTTGTAATATAAGTTGTTAGATTTCTAGGATCTTATCAGATAGCTCCATAACTAATAAGGACCCAGTTCCATATCCAAATGAATAGACTTTTTCTTATTATGGTTAAATCTTTTTATTGTTGTTTTGCTTTGTTTAGATTCTGATCATCCATCTTGCAGAATTTTGTGTAGGGATACTTGAGCCATGAGACCGTAATGCAGAAGTTAACTGGAGCTTATGATAGCAGATAAACAGGGAGTCCAGGACAGATTTTCCTAATCCATTTTTGCCCTTTCTATTATGCCAGCTGCCCCAGGAAATCTATTATCTGTCAGTTGTCACTTTGGCATTTTTCTTCTTTCCTTCTCTTTTTAACTCACTTATGTAGCTTCAGTTACCACCTGAGAGTTTTAACTAATAGTGTTACATGGGAATTTGCATTTGGCCAGTTGAACTGCCGTCATGCTGACATCACTCGCCGAGATCTGAAAGTTAAAATTTTATCGTTTTCCACAAATGTACAGTGACATGTTCTGTCAGTACAAGAATATACACAGGAGGAGAGCTGATACATTTTGTATGGGAACCACCATTTTAGATTCCACTTTTTTTCCCTTGGTTATATACAAGAGACCAAAAAATAATCAGTTATCTCCAATTTTAAGTGTCTGGTATTCAAAATTCAAGTTTGTTATAGAATTAAATTGCTCAGGAGATACAGTTTTTTTACTCATAGTTTATATTTAGCTAGCTTCAGGTAGGCATTCTTAAATGAAAGTACACAATGCAATAGGGTGTCTGCCACAAATCCAGTGACAGTGTGTACTCAGAAACTTTAGGCAATGAAGGTTTCATTGTAGTACTCTAATGTCCTCTTATTGCCTTGAAATCTTTTCAGTTGACCTTCTTCTATTATTTAATGTATTTCTACATTAATGTACTTCTGTTACATACCAGTAATTGCATTTATTGAAGCCATATGTTTCTCTTTATGGGAAATGCTGATCTTAGTAAATTTCAACTGTGGGTAGGGAGATATTCTTTAATAAATAACTGAAAGACTTTTTCACAGTTCAGTGCTGGTCCTGTTATCTGTTATGTCTAGAGTATTTTATAAATGGTAACTAAATTATGGGGTCTGGAAAATCATCTCTTCAAGAAATTTCACAAGGTGTGCTACATGGTAGCTTCTTATAAGTAGGTTAAAGCGACTGGCTTTATCTCAAGTGGCTTGCTATGTTAAAGAAGAATTTAATGTATTCAGCTTTACTGGTAAAACACCAAACAAGTTCTGACACCTCTGACAAGATGATTAAAGTTGGGAATGTTTTTCTTCTGACAGCATCAACAAAGAGAGCATCGTCGATGTGGAAGGCGTTGTGAGAAACGTGAATCAGAAAATTGGAAGCTGTACACAACAAGATGTAGAGTTACATGTTCAAAAGGTAATTTTTTTCAAAATATAAAATTGTGTCCAGAAATAGATTTGAATAGTTCTTAGAACTATTCACATCAACTCTGTAATTAGAGTTGATATAAAATATTGAGATTTATAAATTGATTATTGACTCAACTAGTTTTTGTCATATAACAAACCACCTCAATACTTAGCGACTTAAAACAACAAACATTTATTATTTGTTCATAATTCTGTGCAGTAAGGGAATTGGGGTCAGCATCTGGGATGCGTGATCTGTACAATGTGATGTATCAACTGGGCTCACTGACATTCCTGGGACATCTGTCCCTGTGATTCTCCTCATCCTGAAGGCTAGCCCAGGCTTGTTGACATGGTACATCTCCCATACCACACAGGGAAAGTATGAAACACATCTGAAAAACTTTATTCACTATCATGAATCTATTTTGCTGTCAGCTTCTTTGAATGAAGGTTGATTCATTATACTAACTCTTATTAATCATTGTATTGCCTTGTAATCATTGTATTTCTGGTATTTTACAGTATAGAAAAGTCAAAAGAGATACTGTATCGGGCTTACATTCCAGCAATAACTTTCTCACATAAGATTTATCCCACATTTATTTTCTTAGACATACAAACTAACAATGTTATAAGTGAATTCACATATATTTAGTATTTTTGAAATAACCCTGCAATCTTGAACCTGCAACCTACAGTCTCAGATCCAGACCTAGTTTGTATCCACAATATTCTTCATTGAATTTCTCTTATGGAATAGTCCTTTCCCACTCTAACCCGTGTGTGTGTGTGTGTGTGTGTGTGTGTGTGTGTGTACATGTCAGGTAGGTGGGCAAAAACAGATGGATGCAGAAGGACAGATTGATCCATGCACGCTAATTTGGTAGTAGAGGTTGTATTTAATTGAAATTAATTGTCATGAAACTCTTTAAGACTTAGAAAATCTTGTATTTTTTACTGACCTAACTTGCCAAATTACTTTGTTCTCTTTTTGTACGTCTTATTTCAAACTAACCACACCAGGAAGTCTATAACCTAACAAAGGCAAACTGATCTAAAGGTATGCTGACCAAGGGGAAAAAAAAAAACCCCTATCTTCCAAGTAACATCTTTTTCAATACTTGAATAAATAAAATATTAGTGACTAGAGCAAGTAAATGTATTTCTAAAATATTTTAATTACCTAGGATCCAGTCAAACCTTAATAAACGTTAAATATAAAGCCTACAGTGCTTGCAGACAAATTTTGCCTTAAGAAAAATAATTATAAAGTATCTCACAAAGTATAAAACACTGTATACTAAATAGAATTTTATAATAAGCAAAGACTCTCTTATCACTTATTTATCCAGCCCGCAGTTACTGAGTAGTACCAAGCACTATGTGAAGTTTGGGGGATGAAAGTGGTCACAACCTAATGAAGGAGATTTTTCTACTAGTTAGAAAAATGAAAGAGGTAGCTGTCCAGATCTCCAGCTTTGCGTTGGGAAGTTTCTGTTAACTAATCAAAGGGAAGCACAAAAACTTGGGTATAGAGGATGGCGACAAAGAGTTCTATTTTACTATGAGTAGGACTGGAGTATCCTTCTGATACTTTTTCTTGAAGTGTCTGAGCTGAATGCTAAATGTTTTTTACCAACTGGAAGAATATAATTTCCTTTCTGTAATTAACTAAGTAAAGTCTGTTTTCCTCTTGTGCTTTAGCAGATTTTCCAGGAATAGTTGGGGGAAACTAATAGGGTAACATGCATTTAAGTGGCTAAAAAACCCATCTCCTTCTTTATGACCTAACTGCTTTTTAGCACTAAATTGTGCATTTAGTTTGAATAAATATTGAGGGATTTTAACACCATAAAGAAACACCTTCTCTAGCAGCTCCCAACCAGGAGAGCAGCAGGAAGCAAGATATAGTTGATACACTTGATGAAAGAAGGCAGTGAAGGGATATTTAGAAAATGAATGAGGAAAGGAAGGAGCAGTGCGGCAAAGTTGAGCTGACTTTGATCCTGGTGGTAGAAATGGCCAAATACTGTTAACAATCACGATAACTTATTTGTTAATGGCACCTTCAAACAATCAAAGTGTTTCCTTATTCTTTATTCCATTTGATTCTTAACACCAGCCTCATTTTACAGAAATAATATTGAAGCTCTAGGTAAGGTTATTTGCCTGTGACAAGTTTCCTTTGACAAAAAGAGACCTTAAGCCAGACCCCTCAACTATGATAATGGTGGGCACCTTAGAGTTTACAAAGTCTTCATACATATGTTATTTCATTTGACTATTCCAGCAACACAGGGATATAGACTGGAAATAACTATTAACCCCATCTTGTAGGTGTAGAAACATGTGCCATCTTGTTTGATTTTAGCAAGTAGTTTCAGTTAAAGATGTATGCAAACAATGTTTCTCGTGTTAAGTCAACTGTAGATTTTCTTAAGCAAAAGATAACAGGTTTTGTGTGCTTCTTGATATTTTTGGTAATCTCTCACTTTCAGATTTATGTGATCAGTTCAGCTGAACCCCGCCTGCCCCTGCAGCTGGACGATGCTGTTCGGCCTGAAGTAGAAGGAGAAGAGGTGAAAACTATACTTTTGAAATAATGTGCTTCCTCTGTATATTTAGTTTACACAACATTGATAACTTGATGTCCTACTTTTGTAAGAAAGGTAGCTATGAGTTGATTTGAGCTTCATTTTCATTGAAAGCTACTCTTACATTAAAAGTTCTCAAACTTTTTGCTCTCAGGATTCCTTTACATTTTTAAAAATAATTGACCCCACAAGCTTTTATTTTTATAGGTATGTCTACCACCATTTACAGTATTAGATACAGTATTAAAAGTTTAGACAAAATTTTTAATATTTATGACTTTATTTAAAATAATAATATAATTAGATTATGTGTCTGTGTATGCCTATATAAATAATAAAAACAGCAATAACATATGAAATGTATTTTTTAATGTCAAAAGTAACTTTTTTTGTTACGTGTCTATATTCTTGGTAATATCATGGCTCGATACACAACAATTAGATTTTCATATCTGCCTCAGCATTCATTCTGTTGTCTGCACACATCATAAAGCCTTTGGAAAACTTCTAAATATAGTCAGGAAAAAAATGGGTGTTTAAAGATATTATTGTGAAGTGTAGGTTTGACTTCACAGACTCCCTGAAAGTGTCTCACTGGTCCCCAAAACATGCTTTGAGAACCACTGTTCTTTGTCAGCATTTATTTGTTCCTTCCATTTTCAACTAACAGGTAAACTCCAGGGATCAGTGATTATGACAGTTTAATTATTCTGATATCCCAGTAATGAGTCAAAGGTTTGGGTGTGGGAGGTGGATAAAAAGCATTTAGCTTAATTCATTCTCATTTCTCTTCTTTCAAGCTCTCTTTCTCTTAATAATTTCTCTCTGGCCCCACTTATTTCTAGGATCTTTGATTTGGGGATATAATGTGAACACACATGAATATATCTATTCTCATTTAAAAATTAACATGACTTCTACAAATGTTGTTTGTGTCCTTAAAAAAAGTTAATAAAATCTGGGTTTTTTTATCCTTTTTTTAGGAAGGAAGAGCTACTGTTAACCAGGATACGAGATTAGACAACAGAGTCATTGATCTTAGGGTATGCCTTGTTTGTTTATTTAGTGACATGATTGTGCTAAAATCAAGGTGGGCAAGAGTACCATACCTGACTCAGGTTTATAGAACTAATTGGCATTTGCCTATATGTAATATGATAATACAAGAAGTAATTTACCTGACTCACCCTTCCCCTAAAAAGAATTGCAGGCAACAAGGACAGTCAAGTAATAGTTCACAGGATACTGACTTGCTTCATTTTAAAATGACAAAGGAACGTGAAGCTAATAAATGGGCTTACTCCCAGGTAGTACCTGTTTCAGACATGATAGTCAGCAAGAAAAAACATAATTAGTTGTCACTACATAATTGTGAAAGAAGTTCTGTGCACACTTTAGAATGATCAGGTAGACATTAGCAGTTAATGCCTCAATCCTTTGAATTTGATCTGAGCACAGAGTTCATAACAAAGAAGTAGTTGGCTCTGGTGGTGTATATAGTAATCCCATACATAGGTCTTCTGTTTCCCTTTCTGGTTTGGTTGCAAGTGAAAGAGTTCAGTGGTTTCATCATCGTAAAACCAATGTCATCTCTTTCTTAATGTTTTGACCACATCTTCCTCCTTTACTTAAATAATCTACCTAAAGTTTAAATGCTTTGTCACCTTAAGAGTTCTTTCTAACTTGTCTGCCCTTATTGTATACTCATTTTTCCCCTGATTATTTGCTTTTTTGCCTGCTTTTTACCTTTTCCATTTTCATTTACAGTATGTAGAAAAGATTAGCAGTAATCAAAAGTTCTCTTAATACTGCCTAGAAACCTCAGGTTTTTCATAATTTTGGCCACAATAGTTAGACATCCTACTGTATTAGCTATTTGTTCACACAGGTTATTGGTTGTGCCTCTAGCATTTGGCCTGAAAAGTATTTTTCTTTGGTTGGAAATAAAAGAGCAAAATTGTAATTCTCCTTCTAGAATATGAAAAATTCCAAAATAGATCCCTATACTGATTGTTAGCACCTAACTTTTCTCTCATATAATGAATTATTTTCTGTATGAATTTCCCAGGCATGTGGCCTGATTAGAAAGTACTCTGTCTCAGTTAATGTGTCAAATTGATTTAATTAGATTTTATTGTTGTCTTATAGACATCAACTAGTCAGGCAGTCTTCCGTCTCCAGTCTGGCATCTGCCATCTTTTCCGAGAAACTTTAACTAACAAGGGTTTTGTGGAGATACAAACTCCTAAAATTATCTCAGGTATGCTTTATTTCCCTTATTTTTTTAAAATAAATTGGTTTCCCCAAAGTTGGCTTCGTATTAGATTTTCTATGGGGGATTTTTTTTCATTTGTTTTTTAATTCAAGAGTCCCAAGTGATCCTTAGGTTTCTTGCTATGAGACTGTTTGGAAGACTGTGCTGTATAGCAGCAGTCAGATATCACTAATACTAGTAATACTAAATTCCCTGCTTCAGGAGCCATTACATGATAATGACTATAAAATAAGGCAGTAGCACATAAAGCAAGATTGTTTTGTTAATATAAGGTACATCAGAAACTGCTTTCATGATGTAGATTTCTTTCTAATTGGTATTACAATTTTGTTTTTTATAAACTGCAGTGTCAAGTTACTAGATACTACAGATGGGAAAACCTCATTAATTCTTATTCTTAATGAGAAACTTAACATTTTTAATCATTTAACTTTTTTAGTTACTTAAATAACAATAAAATGTTATGAATGGATTTTAATTATATCTTTTTTCCCATTTAAAAAAATTTTTTATAACTCCAGAGTAGCTTTAATAGATTAAAAATTGATGTAGAAAGAGAGAATACATAGCAAAAGAAGTAAAATGGAGGTGCAGCCAAAGAAGTAAGTCTGTCCTAAATGTAAACTGTTTAGAATCAGCGATATGACATTTTTTTTTTAGTGAGATATGACATATTATGATTATAGTTTCTCTGCAATTCTTGATTTTCTAGTTGTTTCTTTTAGTGAAATACTTGAACCAAAAGTATAAACTGTTTTTACTAGAAATTTGCATTGATAAGTTTACAATTACTTGTAATAACTTAAATGTTTACATTTCAGCTGCCAGTGAAGGAGGAGCCAATGTATTTACTGTGTCATATTTTAAAAATAATGCATACCTGGCTCAGTCTCCACAGCTGTACAAGCAAATGTGTATTTGTGCTGATTTTGAGAAGGTTTTCTGTATTGGGCCAGGTAAGGTTTTTGGCAGTTAACGGTTTTCTCAGAATTCATTAATTGTACCATAGTAATGGTTTTAGAAACACATTTTACATGCAGACATTTTGAAAGCTTAAATCTTTTTATATGTCGACTACGTAGACACTAGACTTTGAGGTAAAAAATGACAGTGTACTTAGGCAGACCTTCCAAATAATAAATTTTGTTGTCCTTGATAGCCCGTTTACTACTCTTGGAAGTTTACAAATGTGCTACCAATTGTATTCCAAAGCTGTTCTGTTTCACTGTTACTATTTGTACTGTTGTTAGTATTGTTAATATGCTAAAGCCCATTAGAAATTAGTACAAATGTATGATATTTAGTAGGTTATATTAACATAGTTTTTAAGATATAGTTGCTACAAGTCCAAGTAAGCACACACAATCATGTGACAGATTCTTTTACGAGACTAATTATAAGCAAAAACCACCTTTACTTCATTCTTTAAAACTCACCAAATTTTTGTATATATGTAAGTTTTTTGATGGCCTAATAAAAATTAAATACCTGCTAATAGAAAAACTGGCAAGATCTTTAAGCTTTTTAGTTTTCTGAATCTGTTAAACAATTATACGTTGAACACCTACTGCATGTATACAGCCTTGCTCTGGGTTCCATGTACATAAAAGAAGAATCAACCAGCACTTCTCAAATGTTTATGTGCACATGAGTCACCTGGGGGCCTTGTTAAAATGCAGATTCTGACCAGTAGGTCGGGGGATGAGGCTTAAGATTCTGCAGTTCTCACGTGTTCCCAGGTACTGCTGATGCTGCTAATTTGCAGACAGACCATGCTTTGTGAAAGGAAAATCATTCTCCCTGCTTTCAAGACAGAATAAGACCTGTATACATACAGCAGTCACAGGGAGTAATCAACTGATTTTCACAGCAGTTAATCAGATTGTGCTGTGCAATCAGCAGATTGGTGTTAATTATATAGTTTAGAGAGTGTAAAAAGGGGAGAAGATGGAATTTGCTAGAGTCACAATGAGAGAGAGTTCATACTGAAGTGGGCTCTAAGGACAGACTAGGAGATCTAGACAATGGGGATTGGTGTTCTAGTTAGAGGAGGCGAGATGAGTAAAGAGCATGGGAGGAAATAAAAATAAGACTAATTAGTATTAAGAAATGGGAAACACAGGATAGGACTAAATTATGAAAGCATGACATGGTTTTAACATTTTGTCTTATTACGGTAGTCATTTGGGAACCATTGTAAGTTACTGAGCAAGGATGAGTTATAGATTATATCAATCTTGCAGTGATACAAAAAATGGAGCAGAGTAGAGTCAGGAAGACTGGAGAGGAGGAAAGTGCAGTGAGGATAATAGCAGCTGGACTGGGGTAATGGCTGGAGTGTAATATTACTCCATCTGCACAGATTTCATTTAGCTTGAGTCAAGTTTTAATAAAATTGAGAACTCACTGTATTGAATCTATTTTAATTATTGAGAAGGCACTTCAGAATCTTGCATTCCCTTGGGATTCTCATGAGTCTCATTTATTAATTTACATTTGTTACAGCTTTTACGACTATAGGAATTTGTAATGAACTTGCCATCCATGAGAATGCTGAGACAGATGACTTATCAAAGATTTTTTTCCAACCCTATAATGATAATTAAATAGTGCCACTGGAGTACTAGTAAATAGAATTTTTGTATTTAAATCCCAATTTATCCAAAATTTAAAACACCATTTACTGTGCTGTGTAATGTATGCTAATTATGTATTTACATACTATGTAAACACCATTTACCATTTTCTTTTATTAATGTTACAGTATTCAGAGCTGAAGACTCTAATACACACAGACATCTGACTGAATTTGTTGGCTTGGATATTGAAATGGCTTTTAATTACCATTACCATGAAGTTGTGGAAGAAATTGCCGACACTTTAGTGCAGATATTCAAAGGACTTCAGAAAAGGTAAATATATATATATTTTATAACCTTAGATGAATCTAATTTTTAAAACAGTTTAAGTTCTCCAAAATGAAGCAGTTCTTAAAACATGTAAACTAAGTTTTTATTGAAAAAAAATTTAAAAAAAAAATTAAAATATATATATATATAAAGATTTGCCAGTTAGATTATTAGTTAATTAGTGGGAAAATCCACACTCAAAAGAATACGTCTGAATCCAAGTCAGTTAGGGCTGCAGCCAGTTAAGCTAGCTAGCTAATCTACCAGATTGTAAGCAGCCTAACTATATTTGTTTTTTCCTCAATATTTTACATCCTCAACTTCTCAGAAATAGAGCCTATGTTACCTTTATAGCAGTTTATTATTTGAGAGGTAGTATGAGATAGTAGGACTTCCCAGGAGGCTCAGTGGTAAAGAATCTGCCTGCCAGTGCAGAAGACTCTGGAGACAGAGGTTCAGTTCCTGGGTGGGGAAGATCCCCTGGAGGAGGAAATGGCAGCCCACTCCAATATTCTTGCCTGGAGAATCCCATGGACAGAGGAACCTGGCAGACTACAGTCCTTGGGGTTTGCAAAGAGTCGGACATGACTAAGCAAGAGAGCACAGGGAGGGAATAGTATTTCCGATCTTCAGCTCAGCTAGGTCCAGGTAACCTAAGATCAAATCCCAAGTTGGCTATATATCTTGTGTGGGCATTTTGGAAGTTATATAACTCTGTGCCTCAGTTTCCTCTGCTGTTACAAGTGAAGATAATATTATTACTTACCTCAGAGTTAAAGAGTCCCCTTAGTCTTTCAGTTTCTAATCTTTACTGAATCTGTGTAAGTTAAGCCTGTGTTGAGACTGTTTAAATTTTTTGATCAGTTTATATTTACAGTGAGTGCTTAGTAGAAATTAGAAACTGGTATACTGAAAGGACTTTCAGCTTATGTGGGCCTGGTGAATTGACACATTTATAGAAATTATTAGGCGTGTCTGGGTGTTCATAAAATTGAATTATGTTAGATGTTCACTTTCTGTACAGCCTTTAAACTGGCAACTAGTTTCTGCCTTAAAAGTGCATTAAAAATTGTTTTCTTATGATAATGTTTAAAATAGAGAAAATAAGAGGATGGAAGGCACGTTAACTAGGACCAAGAGTGTCTTTTTTTCTCTTTTCTTTTCTCCATACTTTTGAAAGTACTACAAGTATTAAGTTGGATATGACAGATTTATCTAGTGCTTTGATAACTGATGAAGATTGTATTTAAAGTTCCTATTTGAAGACCACTGATTTTTTTTTCTCATGACATGTATTGTTTTCTTTTTGATTTTACAAGCAATACATGTTTATTGCAGACAGCTAGAAATAAAATCATAAAATAAAAATTAACAATCCCCCATAATCCCACCCCCCAGAGAATAACCATCATTAATATTTTGATGCCTTTTTTAACTGAGGTATAATTGACCTATTCCACTATGTTGGTTCCAGTGCACAACATAGTGATTCCATATTTCTGCAATATAATTGACTGTATTTCTCATGCTCTACCATTCATCCCCATGACTTTTTTTTTTTTTTAACTGGGAATTTATTTTTCTTAATCCCCCTTACCTGTTTCACTCATCCCCCAAACCCCTTCTACTCTGGTAACTACTAGTTTGTTCTCTGTAACTCTGCGTCTGTTTCTGTTTTGTTATGTTTTTTAATTTGTTTTGTTAGATTCCACTTATAAGTAAAACCATATGGTATTTGTCTTTCTCTGTCAGACTTATTTCTCTTCACATAATACCCTCTACATTCATCTGTATTGTCACAGATGACAAGATTTCATTCTTTTATGGCTAAGTAATATTCCAGTGTGTGTCTGTGTTGTTGTTTGGTTGCTCAGTTGTGTCCAACTTTTATAGACCCCGTGGACTATAGCTCTCCAGGCTCCTCTGTCCATAGGATTTTCCAGGCAAGAATACTGAAATGGGTTGCCATCTCCTTCTCCAGTGTGTCTATATATATGTGTGTGTGTGTGTGTGTACACACTACATCTTCTTTATTCATCTATCAGTGGACATTTAGGTTGCTTCCATATCTTGACTGTTGAAGTCATAATGCTGAGATGAACTTAGGGATACACACACACACACACACACACACACACACACACACACACACACACACATATATTTTTTCAAATTAGTTTTTTTTTTTAATTTCTTCAAAAAAGATCCAGAAGTGGAACTGCTAAATTGTATCTATTTCTAATTTTTTGAGGATGTCTATACTGTTTTCCATAGTGGTTAATTAATACCAACAGTACACAAGGTATGTTCCCTCTGTACCTTTGTTGAGAGTTTTTATCATAAATGGACATTGAATTTTGTCATAAAGTTCTTTGTTGAGATGATAGTATGATTTTATTCCTGAGTTTGTTAATGTGGTGGATCACATTGGTTAATTTGTGGGTGTTGAACCATCTATGCATTCCTGGGATAGATCCCAGTTGATCATGGTGTATGATCCTTTTAATATATTATTGATTTCAGTTTGCTAATTTTTAAGGATTTTTCATATAATTTTCCTTTTTGTCTGGTTTTGGTATCAATGTGGTGCTGGTTTTATAGAATGAGTTCAGAAGCATTTCTTCCTCTGGAACTTTTTTGAATAGGATGAGAAGTATACTTGTTAATTTCTTTAAGTATTGGTAGAATTCACCTCTAAAGCCATCTGGCCTTGGACTTTTGTTTGTTGAGAGTATGTTTTTTTATTACTGATTCAACATCATTACTGTTAATTGTTCTATTCACATTTTCTATTTCTTCCTGATCCGGTCTTTGGATATTTCACATTTCTAGGGGTTTATCCATTTCTTCTAGGTTGTTCAGTTTATTGGCATATATGTATTCATAATAATCTCCTATGACCTTTTCTTATATTTCTGTGGTGTCAGTTGTAAGTTCTTTTTCATTTCTGATGCTACAGATTTGGATTTTTTTTTTTTTTAGTCTATTTATTTCTTTTTACTCTGATCATTATTACTTTTTTCCTTTTAGTAACCTTGGTCTTTGCTTGTTTCTTTCTCATTCCTTTAAGTCAGGTTAGATTGTTTGAGACCTTTCTTATTTCCTAAGGTAGGCTTTTATCACTTGAAACTTCCCTCTTAGAACTGTTTTTGCTGCATCCTGCAGACTTTGGATTAATGTGTTTGTTTTCACTTGTCTCTAGGTATTTTTTTATTTCCTTTTTGATATTTTCTGTAACCCATTGGTTGTTTAGAACCATATTGTTTAGCCTCTATGTGTTAGTGGGTTTTGCTGGGTTTTTTTGTTTGTTTGTTTTCCACCTTGTAGTTGATTTCTAGTATCTTTGAGTGTGGTCAGAAAAGATCCAGAATAGGATTTTAAGTTTAACTTTACTGAGACTTGTCTTGTGGCCTACTGTGTGATCTATCCTGGAGAATGTTCCCTGTGTACTTGAAAATAATGTGCATCCTGCTGCTTTTGGATGGAATGGCCTGTGTGTGTGTATACGTCTTTTAAGTTCATTTCATCTAATGTGTTTTTGAGGCCATTGTTTCCTTACTGATTTTCTGTCTGGGTGATCTGACTATGGATGTAAGTGGGGAGTTAAAAGTCTTCTACTGTTTTGTGTTATTGTGTTAGTTTTCCCTTATGTTAACATTTGCTTTATCATTTAGGTGCTCCTATGTTGGGTATATTTATAGTTGTTAGATCTTCTTGTTGGATTGATCCCTTTATCATTATGTAATGTCCTTCTCATTTCCATTTGCATGGAATGTTTTTTTCCATCCTCTTACTTTTGGTCTGAGTGTGTCTTTGGATCTGAGGTAAGTCTCTTGCAGATAACATATGTATGGACCTTGTTTATTTCAGCCACTCTGTGTCATTTGGGGCATTTAGTCCATTTACATGTAGTATGTTCTTATTGCTGTTTTGTAAATTGCCTTCAGGTTTTTTTATTTCTTTTTTGTTTCTCCTTTTTTCTCTTATGACTTGATGATTATCTTTAGTGTTAATATAAATTCCTTTCTCTTATGTGTGTGTATCTATTACAGATTTTTGGCGTATGGTTACCATGAGGTTTATGTATAGCAACCTATATATGTAGGTTCAGCTTGAGTGATTTCCACCACTTGGTCTTCCAGTACACTAATTTGTTCCTCTGTATCATCTAATCCCCTTAGGGGAGTATCATCTAATCTACTTACAGGAGTTCCCTTGTATGTAACCAGTTACTTTTCCCTTGCTGCTTTTAATATTCTCTGTCTTTAATTTTTGCCTAATTACAGTGTGATAAAGAACCTACAGGGCTTCCCCAGTAGCTCAGCTGGTAAAGAATCCACCTGCAATGCAGGAGACCCCAGTTTGATTCCTGAGTCGGAAAGATCCCCTGGAGAAGGGATAGGCTACCCACTCCAGTATTCTTGGGCTTCCCTGATAGCTCAGACAGTAAAGAATCTGCCTCCAATGCAGGAGGCCTGGGTCGGGAAGATCCCCTGGAGGAGGGCATGGCAACCCACTCCAGCATTCTTGCCTGGAGAGTCCCCATGGACAGAGGAGCCTGGCGGGCTGCAGTCCGTGGAGTTGTAAAGACTCAGACATGACTGAGTGACTAAGCTCACACAGTGAACTTGTGGACCTCTCTGGGTTGATCTTATTTGGGACTCTGTACTTTCTGGGCCTGGATATCTTCTTCCTTTCCAAGGTTAGGGAAGTTTTCTGCCATTATGTCTTTAAATGCATTCTCTGCCCCTTTCTTTTCCTTCTTGGATTTGTATAATGTGAATGTCTATGTGCTTGATGTTGTCCCAGAGGTCACTTAAACTGTCCTCATGTTTTTTGTTTGTTTCCATTTTTATTGCAGTATATAGTTGTTGACAATGTTGTGCTAGTTTCTCCCGTGCAGTAAAGTGAGTATATATGTATATGTATGTATACATACCTCCCCTCTTTTTTGGATTACCTTCCCACTTAGGTCACGGTAGAGCACTGCGTAGGCTTCCCTGAGCCTCTCCAGCATCTTCTCATTAGTTATCTACTTTACACATAGTGTCTGCTGCTGCTGCTATGTCACTTCAGTCGTGTCCGACTGTGCAACCCCATAGACGGCAGCCCACCAGGCTCCTCTGTCCCTGGGACTCTCCAGGCAAGAACACTGGAGTGGGTTGCTGTTTCCTTCTCCAGTGCGTGGAAGTGAAGTCGGTCAGGCGTGTGCGACTCTTAGCGACCCCATGAACCGCAGCCTACCACACTCCTCCATCCATGGGATTTTCCAGGCAAGAGTACTGGAGTGGGGTGCCATTGCCTTCTCTGATACATAGTATCAGTAGTGTATATATGTCAATCCCTATTTCCCAGTTCCTCCTAGGCCCCTGCTCCCCCCTTGGTGTCCATACCTTTGTGCTCAACGTCTTTGTCTCCATTTCAGTTGGGCAGATAATATCTAAACCATTTTTCTAGATTCTACATATATGCATTAATATACAATATTTGTTTTTCTGACTTCACTTTTTTTTTAACTTTTTATTTTGTATTGGGGTATAGCCCGTTAACAATGTTATGATAGTGTCAGGTGAACAGCAAAAGGACTCAGCCATAAGTATACCTGTATCTCTTCTCCTTCAAACTCCCTTCCCATCTAGGCTGCCACGTAACATTGAGCAGAGTTCCATGTGCTATACAGTAGGTCCTTGTTGGTTATCCATTTTAAATATAGCAGTGTGTATATGTCCTTCCCGAACTTCCTAATTATCCCTTCTCCCAACCTTCCGCCTGGCAACCGTAAGCTTGTTCTCAGTCTCTGAGTCTGTTTTTGTTTTGTAAACTGTCCTCATTTTTAATTTTTCTTTTTCTATGTATTAGATAGGTTAATTATAATTCCTGATCTTGGAGAAATGGCCTCATGTAGGAGACATCCTGTGGGGCCCAGTGACACCGTCGCCTCTGTTCAGTAGAGCAATATGTTCTAGGGATGCCTGCTATACGTGAGCTATGTAGGCCCCCCGACAGGGCTGACTTCTGTGGGCATGCCGGTGGGCTTGGACGGCCCCCAGCCCATTTGGTGGCCAAGTGCTACCTAGTGCTGAGGCTTCTGGTTACTGGTGGAAAGGACAGGTCTTCCAGAACTGATGCTGGCCCACTGTTTGGTGGACCCAATCGTGGGCCCTCTGTTGGACATGGCCAAATCCTGGGGTAGCTGGGGTGTTTTGAGCAGGGGGTCTACGGCTGCTCCTGGCCTGATGGTGGGTGGCACTGTATCCCTGTGTGGCTGACTGCTTGGCCTGGGGCTTCCCAGTACTAGTGCTAACTGGCTGGTAGGCTCGACCTGATACTTGCTCCAATAGGCTAGAAGGAGAGTTCCAAGATAGTGCTTGCCAGCAGCAGTGTCTTCATGATAGAATGAGCTGCCCAAAATGGATGCTGCTAATGTCTGTCCCCAGAGGTAAATCTCAGTTGCCTCCTGCCTCTTTAGGAGGCTCTGCAAGATCAACAAGTGACTCTGACCCAGGTTCCTTTCAAATTACTGCTTCTGCCCTAGGTCTCGAGATTTTACATGTTCCCTTTAAGTGGATTCACTGTTTCCTACAGACCTTCAATTCTCCCAAGTGCCTGCCCCACTGGCCTTCAAAGTCAGACCTTCTAGAGGATGCTTGTCTTCCTGGTGCAGGATCCCTAGCCAGGGGAGCCCAATATGGGCCTCAGACCTGTCATTCCTTGGCGGGGCTCTCTGCAGTTGTGATTATCCTATCCTTTGTGGGTTGCCTGCCTCGGGATGTGAATATTGACTCTGCCACATCTCTGCTACTCTTATCTGTCTTGTTGTTACTTCTTTATATCTTTGGTTGTAGAATATATTTTCTGCTTGCCTTCAGGCCATTCTCATCGATAGTTGCTCTGTGAATAGTTGTAATTTTGGTGTGCCCATGGGAGGAGGTAAATTCAAGGTCTTCCTATTCTATGATCTTGGCCACTCCTCCCAACTTTTTTTTTTTTACCCTTTTTTCTCTGAAACATTTCTATACAGTTTATTTTAAGCAACTTCCATTCAGCTAGTCTATAGAACAACTAATGTCTCCCTGTAAAACAAAATATCTTTTGAAACTACAGTTAAGGAATAGAGCTTTTCTCATTACTTATTTACTGTGTATTTTTAAAATTTATTTATTTGGCTATACCAGGTCTTAGTTGTGGCACATGAGATCTTCCTTTTGGCATGTGAAATCTTTAGTTGTGGTGCTAGGGGGATCTAGTTCCCTGACCAGGGTTTGAACTAGGGCCCCCTGCATTGGAAGCACATGGTCTTAAGCCACTGGACCACCGAGGAACTCCCTCGTTTTTTTTACATTTTTATTTCATTTACATTTATAATTGAAGAAAGCTTATGAAGCTCATTTATTTTAGGTATTGATGTCTTCTCTACTTAATATTGGAAGTGGAATTTCCACTTTGGTTTTTGTAACAAAAGAGCAAGCATGATTTGAGCACTTGGAATTAATCAAATCTCTGCTTACAAATTAGATATTCAGACACCATTATCACTGGGCTTAATGGGTAGGCTTAAGATGGCGACTTGGAAATAAAAGCCTTCTTCCTGTCTTCTATACATCATTTAGGAATTTTAAGTTTCTGTGTCAGTTGTAAATTGGGTTATTTGGTGGTTGTCTATCCCTCTCGTGTTTATCATTAGTACTTATCTCTAACAGAAGAATAAACAAATGTATTTTAAAATATTGATATTCATATTTTTTATTACCATTGATTAACATGAATGGGGGTTAATGTTCAAAGCAAAGCAATTTAAAAATTAATTCTTGGGGTCATTTTAACCCATCTTATGTCAAGATTTGAATAAATCAATGATTTCTTCTGTTTTCATAGAATATAAACATACTTTTTTCAATTCTGTTGATTATGAAAAAATTTAAATAGCATACAAAAAAAAGGTAGACTAGCCTAATGAACCCCCATATACTTATCACCCAGTTTTAACCATTGTCAATCCATGGCCAGTTTTGTTTTACCCATTTCCTTCCATGCTCTGTTATTCTGAAGCAAATCTCAGCTACCATTTCATCCATAAATACTTTAGTAAAACTACATTTTTAATCTTGCCATCCTCTACAGCAGCAGTTTAGTGCAATGAACATTTGTTATATTTAGAAGGTAGATGATGAACATACTGTAGGGATTATTAAAATGGGAAAGAAATAGGCACTCTCCTAAACAAACTTATGGTATAATGGTAATGGGGGAAAACAAGACAATATTCATTAGTTTGGTCTTCCTCAATGATGACAAATGTTGTTAAAGTATTAAAAATACTTTATATTTTATTATAAAATATAAATATTTTATATTTATATAAAAAATATAAAAAATTTAGTGCCTCATAAAATAGGTATTTTATGTTTCTAACAGTGCTAGTTGATATGAATTATAAAGGAAGTTTTTCATCCTGTGATGCCACTGCAGTGACAAATAATACAGCATTGAGAAATGATGTTAAATATTTTTTTAAGTATTTGCATTTAATTACTTAACTTAATTTCTTGTTAACAGTTTTTTCTGATGCATACACTAATTCAAAGAATGATTTTATGTGCCATAAACAGGGACTCAATACCCACTAGATATTTTTTTCTCAGCTGCTGTTTCTATTACAGATGAGCTTGAAAGTCCCCGAGGCAATTTCTACACTGAGGCTGAGCTTACAGGAAAGAGCTTTGCTCTAAAAGCATTTCCTTCTGTTATCTCTGAATTCAAAATAGTTACCAGTGGAAACATGGAAGAGTAGTACAGTAAGGTCTTGGGTCCATGTCAGCTGGCCTCTTTAGTACAGGTTCCCTCAACCTCCCTAGGAGGTCTGGCGATGAGCGGGGTGAGCAGGAAAAGGCATGTTTCCACCCTGGAACCGGCTCAGGTTGCCCTTTTCTCATCACTGCACACATAGTAATTCCTCTAATATGTTGAAAATGTTGCTTTGTTTTAAAAAAAAAAAATGTGTATCAAATGTCATGGAAGAGAAAAGCTATGTGTTCCTTACTTCAACAGTATTGGTTAAAAATTTTTCTTTATGTATTACCATAGTGACCTCTTGTGTTAAAAACATTTATTTCACATTTTTATTAACTCTTGTACAAATAGGTTTCAAACTGAAATTCAGACGGTGAATAAACAATTCCCATGTGAGCCATTCAAATTTTTGGAGCCAACTTTAAGATTAGAATATTGTGAAGCATTGGCTATGCTTAGGGAAGCTGGAATTGAAATGGGAGATGAAGAAGATCTAAGGTTTGTATTTATGATTTTTAAAACTTTAGTAATTAGATTTAAGATATAAAAGAATGAATATATTGATGAATGTTTTTCACCTACTTGGTAAACTTAAGTTTTATTAACTTTGGTTATATAGTATGATGCTGTTTTGTTCAATGTGTGATCTGAAATAAACTGTTATGTTTAATGTGGTTTGCCTAACCGTTAATATTTTTGTATGTTAAGGTGTGAAACTTTAAACAATCTCTAAAAGTTATTCAAGTCTCTGTTCTCTATTTAATATACTATATTTTATTATCTAAATTCAGATCAAATAATTTTGAAATGATAGTTTAATAAAGATTGGAGATTTCTGTCTACTTATATTTTATTCAGAGATCCTTAAGTTAAAATACTTTAAGCCAACACAATGATTCATAATTGATATCGGAAGGAAGAGAGTATAATTTTTTTTTTTTTAGGGTTTTTTTATTTTTAAACATATTTCACTCAAAACCCTCATTTACTTTTATTTGTTTAACGAATATATATATGTGCATATATGTATATACACATATATATATAGCTTTAATCATCTTCTACATTGCTAGATGACAATTTAAGGGAAAGCATAAATTCTATAATTTAGATGATATTTTTGTATGTATTTTGGAAATTTTTCTTAAATAGGATAGAACTTAAATTGGTTTAAAACCTTTAATAAAGAGTAACAAAAAAGAGAAACCATTTTGCAGTAGAACCATTTTAATGACAAGAGTAGTCTGTGTTGGTGTAGTAGATTTTCATTATATGTAATTGTAGGAAACTACTTCATGTTATTTCTGAATCAGTGAATTGCTAAATTCTATTTATACCTTTATTTAAGTATATTGAGTAGCGCCGACTAACTGTCCCAGGTATACCCATGAATGGTTTCCAATAGTAGGTGCCTTTTTTAAAAGGAGCAGAATAGACAGCTGTGTATTTTGGCTAAATTTTTTATCCTCTGAGAACTTCAAATAGAAGGGGTTCCTTATAAAGTTAAAACTCTTTTAAGTTGCTGTTTGATCCTCAGACACCTGATTTCATGTTTCTTTTGCAGTACACCCAATGAAAAACTGTTGGGTCGTTTGGTAAAGGAGAAGGTAGGACTCTTATGATGCTGGATTTCTTTTTCTAAATCTGAAACATATCTAAATTCTAAAGAACATGTAATAAGTTACATGAGGGACTAATCTCCCTAGAATGGTAATATTCCAGAATAAATAAAACCCAAGGGGGATAATATTTTTTTTAATTCTTAGAAAAATAAAAAGTATTGAGGCTTTGCAAACCCAAATGGTGTGATTAGCTCAGTGTTTGATTTTTGTATTAACTTACACTGAGGGATCTCTAAGAGTGATATCTGGCTCTGATTGTCATATTAGTTAGAGAGGACCTCAAGGTGATTGAAATTATTTAGAAATGGTCTTCCCTGACTACCCTTGCTGACTCGTGGGACTAGAGGGTGAATGAATTTTTTTCTGCCTTTTACATGAAGGCTACTTTCCTATCTTATTTTTCTATAAAACTCCAAAAAAGAGAAAAGCTAAACTTAATGCAGTCTTAACGAAATTAAGAGGATTGTGTAATTGAATAAAAACAGTCCTTGAGCTCCGCCTGCTGGTTGCACTCAAAATGGTTCAACTGACGGGGGAACACTGTGAAACTGCACAGTACTGAGTTCATACCTTTAAAACGCTGTTTCAGTGGAGCCAGGGTCAGCTCTGTTGACATTCCCTCTACACGCCAATTTAAGGGAAAATGTTTAACATCAAAACAGATAAAACACGACTGTTTCTTTTTAATTAAATGTAGGTCACATAGTAAATATTCTTTTTAACAAAGATCATAATTTCATGTTAATGTTATTCATTTCAGTTGTTTTCATTTGAGAAAAACTACTAAATTTATTTTAAACATCTTGGTGAAAATGTAAATCATTGGGGAAATAATCAAGGTTTTTGGAAGATAAAAGATATCAGTTTTTCCCAAATAATTTATAGATTTAATGTAGTTTTTGTAAAACCCAATGAGATTTGGGATAATTTAACAAAAACAGTTTTAAAATACATCTAGAAAATTAAATGAGCTAGAATTGCAATGGAAAAAGGTGAAAATAGGTTTATCACAGCATAGTTTTCAGCAGAGGAGAAATTGAGAAGAGATTACATGTCCAGAAAAAGAAAAAGAAAAATGGATATGTGAACTATGATTGACTAGTCAATAGCTCCTAAAAATTAAGTATATTGGAAGAATTTAAAACATCACAGCAAAATACTGTAGGATACAGCTGTAAGAAGCAGAACAGTTATTGTATATAGAGTATAATTACAATAATTTTGAAGAACAAAACTTATGTACAGAAAAAAGACAGTTACCAAAATGGTAGCCTTCTTTTTACTTTCATTAAATGTCTTAAAAATCTGTTTTAATCATATTTATTCTTTTTATAGTATGATACCGATTTTTATATTCTTGATAAATATCCATTGGCTGTAAGACCTTTCTATACCATGCCTGACCCACGAAATCCTGTAAGTAATTTGATTTTAAATAACCTGTTTGGGGGAACAGGGAAAACTTTATTGTCACTGTGTCACATTATACAGTGGAAATAATGGTTTTCATTAATAACTTGCAGTTTTAAAAGACACATTTTTATATGTATTACTACTAGTTCCTGTCAATTCAGGTCAAAGTGATATTGTAAAATTTGAATATTCTAGCAAATTAGTCCCCAAAACCTGTATTAAAAATAATTTTCATGTATTATTTTTAAAGATATATGAAGAAGAAACACTATATAAATAACAAATAGTATTAATAGACTTGAGGACTTTATCAAATCATTTTTATCATTGACCTTGAACTGAGAACTCACATTCTATCCTGGCAGTTAATCTAAGTAATGTTTTGTGGGCTTTCACTGGTTTCCCTTTGCATTGGTTCCCCAACTTTAGTGAGTATCGGAATTGCTCGGAGGGCCTTTAAAACAGAGATTGGGGCTTCCCTGGTGGCTCGGTGGTGAAGAATCCACCTGCTAATGCAGGAGACATGGGTTCAGTCCCCGATCTAGGAATGTCACATGTGCACAAGCCTGTGCCCCAGAACTGTTGAGCCTGGGCACAATTAGTGAGCCCATGTGTCACAGCTTGTGAAGACCGTGTTTTCACAACAAGAAAAGCCACTTCAATGAGAAGCCTGCACACCACGACTCAAGAGTAGCCCCCGCTCACCACAGCTAGAGAAAAGCCCTTGTAGCAACGAAAACCCAGCACAGCCAAAAATAAATAAACAACAATACTTTTTTAACAAAACTTTTTTTTAGGTGGGGCTTGATAATTGATATTTCTCATAAGGTAATAGTGAAACTATCAGTCCAGGAATCACACTTTGAGAACCATTGGTTTACTGAAAGATAAGAAAAATAAGTTAAAACCTGATAAAGATTGAATTGAGCTATGGTAAATTGATGTTCAGTTCACTTTCTTTAAAATAATAACTTTGAAAAATTAAAAAAACACCTGTTGATAATTTAAAGTTCCAAAAGTGATCCCAACATCATATCACACTTAAAAACATTTCAGATGATAAAGTGAAATAAGAATCGGCACTGCGGGGACTTCCCTGGCAGTGTAGTGGCCAAGACTCTTTGCTCCCGGTGCAGGGGACTTGGGTTCAATCCCTGGTGAGGGAACAAGATCCCACATGCTGCAGCTGAGATCTGGCACAGCCAGATAATTTTTTTAAAAAAAGAATCAACACTACGCTACTGCTTAAAAGAAGATGTATTGTTCTGATTTGTTACTGGAAGGTGTGGGAGAAGGGGAGCATAAAATCTGATAGAGGTAAAGAAGTTATCATTCAACCCTCACTAGTTTAATCCCATTTTAGAAAAGCAAATCATGTTTATTGGAGCAGGTTGTATAATTAATTGTGGGGAAAAAATGATATTGTTCTTCATGCAACAGAGAGTGTTTTTCCACATATGTGTGATATAAATAGGATGATAACCTGTTGAGTGGTATTTTTGTTTGTTTTTCCTATAGAAACAATCCAACTCTTATGATATGTTCATGAGAGGAGAAGAAATACTGTCAGGAGCTCAAAGAATACATGACCCTCAGCTGCTAACAGAGAGAGCCTTACATCATGGAATTGGTAAACAACTTCAGTATATTGAGGACGGTCATGTATATTCTGAAAGCAATACATTTTAAAACCCTTTAAAGACTTTTCAGAAACACAGTCATTTGTTTTAATTTTCATTGCACGGTAACTGCTTTTGCAATTTTTTTTACACTAAATAAGATGATAAATTACGTTTCTTTGTTTTATGTTTGGTTTGTAGATTTGGAGAAAATTAAGGCATACATTGATTCCTTCCGCTTTGGAGCCCCTCCTCATGCTGGTGGAGGCATTGGTAATATTCGTTTATATGATGACAATATTTCCAACCCAGATTTCATTTGGCAGAGTGTTTCTTCAGTTCTAAATGTCCTCAGTATTAGACTCCAAAAAGTAAATTTTGTATTTTGTTATTACTTACAAATAAGTTTATAAGTGCTAGATGTAATACAAATTTGAATTAAAAGAATTTTTAAGTGAGTTATGACTAAATGAAATTTTTGAGTATCCTCATTTCTCTCTGTATTCATGAGTTCATTCTGATTAGTCCAAACTAAAGCTCAAGTCCCTCAAGTTCAGATGGCTGCTAAATGTTTTTGTTGAAAACATTTCATTGGCTTTTAGAACCACGAGAGTATGTGTTAAGATACTGCTCTGTGATTTAAAATGAGTAAATATTTAACTCAACTTTGGGATGTTTGTATCAAAAATTCTTAAAAAGAATTCTGGGGCATCTCTGGTGTCTCAGCGGTAAAGAATCCACCTGCCAATGCAGGAGGTGCAGGTTCGATCCCTGGTCCAGGAGGATCCCACATGCCCTGGAGCAACTAAGCTCTTGCGCCACAACTATTGAGCCTGTGCTCCAGAGGTCTGAGAGCTGCAGTTGCTGAGCACTCGCGCCACAGCTACTAAAGCCGGTGCACCCTAGAGCCTGTGTTCCGCAACATGAGAAGCCCGTGCACTGCAGTAAGAATAGCCTCCACTCACCACAGCTAGAGAAAGGCCCGTGCAGCAACAAAGACCTTGCACAGCCAAAATTAATTAGTTAGAATTGTTTTAGAAAGAATTCTGAATTTATAGTTTTGTTGAAGGTTTGGTTGTTTTGGTTTTTTTAGTAAATATACAAATTTAGGTAATATACACATTTAGGTAATATACAAATTTAGGTAATATACAAATTTCAAATTCAAAGCAAATAGAATAGTGTACATTCACCTCCCTACAGAAAACTATTGTTTCTAGTTTTCTCTTTACCTCTACAAAGATAATCTTTGCATTTTGCATTTGCAAAATTTAGGTAATAGACAAATTTCAAATTCAAAGCAAATAGAATAGTGTACATTCACCTCCCTATAGAAAACTATTGTTTTTCTAGTTTTCTCTTTACCTCTACAAAGATAATCTTTGCATATGCAAAAGTATATAAAATATATTTTTTACACAAATTGTAGTGTGCTATATAAACCATTCAGTACCTTGCCTTTTCGCTTACTGTATTTTGTAAGTTGCTCCTTTTCAACACTTAAAGAACTTTTTAATGCTTTTTTTTTTTTAATCGCTACATAGAATCCATTGAAAGAATTCATGGTAATCTTAGTAACCAGGTTCCTATTGATAGAACCTGGTATCATTTGAAAATATAATAGTAGGCTTACATTACATTTTTGTTTGCTTAAATCATAAGTTTTGGACATTTACATAGATTTGTGGTTCACATTTCACAGAATCATATAGCTTAAGGATATCTCATTTATCCTTCCCACATATAGCATCACCTGTTTCTGAATCAGACCCAGAATATTCCATTTTAAACTCATTTAAAATAATAGAAGTCATTTCCTTTCTAACAAGGAAAAGCATTTTCTTGATCAGTGATGTTATTTTGATAGTTTTCAGTAAGTACGACCCTGAATGATTAATTCTGAAAATGAATTAATGATTATTTTGTTTTCTCCAGGGTTGGAACGAGTGACTATGCTGTTTTTGGGCTTGCACAATGTTCGTCAAACCTCAATGTTTCCCCGTGATCCCAAAAGACTTACTCCTTAAAGAAAATGTTTTTTTGTTCTTTCCAGTAACCTGCTATTAATCAGGCTGTACCTTAGGTACTTAAAATATGCAATAAAATAAATGTCTTATCCAAAGTGCCACAATTACTTTTGGACTAATTCAGTGTACGTTACTTTAAAAGAGAAGATTTTTATAAATTTGGACATGCTTCAGTAGGAAATGGTTAAACATTTTAATGAAAAATTCATATTATTATGTTAAAACTTCATTTTGCATTACTACAATAAATGTTAAACAACAATTTTAAACAGTTAATGTGTACATTTTTTTTTCTATATTACAGTGGCTATAATATTAATGTCTTAAATTTTCAATATTTGGTCTTAGTTTTTTAAAGTCTGACATGAGATAAGAACAATTTTAGGGAAGTATAGAGGTTTTAATGAATGTGTAATTGGCATATCATGGAAAATTAGGCAGAAAATATCAATCCTTAATAATTGTGCCTGGAAATCATGTAAAGCAGGTGAGAATACTGGTTAGAAATTATACAACATAACATAATATTTGCTAACTAATTAAACACGAATTTCAATAAAATTTTAAAGCTAATTATGGATGTTTCTGTGTAACTTCATGGCAGTATGATTTTATAGCTGATTCTTGGCATTTATAATTTGGGGGGGGGGGAGTAGACAACCAGTTTATGTAAATGCCTAAAAGCAAATGAAGACTAATATATTCATAACATGTATTAATCAAGAGATCAATTGAGATGAGTGTAAGGATACAGTTCTTAAAGCTGAAGGCTTAGGTTGCTTTATAGTTTATTTCATATAGATTAAAAAATATTGCAGAATTTTCAGTTTTTATTTTTAACTGTTAGGCACTTAGTGAATGTCACTAAAATGCACTCCCATTCCCTCCCAAAAAGAATTACAGTTAAATACACTTTTCCTCTAGATTATTAAATATGTCCATGCTAATGTTAGTTTTATGGTGAACCACACATAATACTTATGAACAAACAATTTAATGCAATTATTTTCCTACAGGAAAAGGAAAAATAATACAGAAAAGTAAGAAGGTCAGAAAGGTAGGATATTACCCCTGGTTCATAAGCATCTGCCCATTACTTTTTAAAGTTAATTTATTTCACCATCCTAGATTATTATTTCTTTGAGAGTAGAGACTCAGTTTTAAATCTGTCTTTCATAACCCACCAAAGTATCTCAAGATACTTTTGTTAGACACCCAGAAGTGTTAAATACATTTAAGCCACACCAAGACCTATTTTTTTCTGTATTGTATAATCCCCAAACCCAAAAATAGTATAATAATAGCCTTAGAGCTATTCTTCTCAAGTTCATAGAATTACAGCTCTTTCAAAATAAATCATTTATAGAGTCTAAGAATGATGTAATTTTTTGTTTGTTTTTTATGAAGTATTTCAAACATCAACCAGATTAGAGCATAATAAAAAAAGGACACCCCTACACTTGCCACCAAGCTTTAGCAAATCTTAACACTGTCATATTTGCTTCAGATGTTTATTTTCCTTTTTTAGGGAAAAAGTAGTGGATCCAGTTAAGGCTTCCCAGTTGACACCCGGACCCTATTCCTTCCTACCCTAGCTTTAACTACTATATAAATTCCGTGGTTTTTAATTCCTTTCCATGCTTTATATTTTGCCTCAGTATTTGCTCCTATGAACATTGTCTAGTATTATTTTGCAGACTTATTTGACATGTATATCCTGGGATTTTGATGGAATTGCCTTGAATTTATGAAACAATTTGAGAAGACTTGAAATTTTCAATCTCTTCAGTCTACTAGTTAGTGAAAATAGTATATCCCTTCCTTTTTTGGTATTTTTTCCTTAATTGTCATAAAATATATTGGTGTTCTTTAATTATCTTTCAAAATTACTTTTTAAGGAATTGCCTGGCAGTTCAGTGGTTAGGACTCCATACTCTCACTGCCAAAGGCCTGGGTTTGATCGCTGGTTAGGAACTAAAATAACACCAGCTGCACAGTGCAACCAAAAATAAATTAATTAAATAAATAAAATTACTTTTTAATTTTTCATTTATGCTAAAAAACCTTACCATTTTTTTTCTACTGGAAACGAGACTTTTAAGTATGGATTCTGTGGCTATTCCACCTCGATTAGAGTTCTCATGTTACTGTTTTATCAGCCATGTAACCTTTAACAGGTTAATGAGGAGACCATTTGTTAAGAGTTCCTGTTAAGAATGACTGTTGAAAAAAAATAAAAAAGAATGACTGTTGAATATGTCAAGTACTTTTTCTGTATTTGCTGCAATTTTTTTTCCTTTAGTTTTGAATATGACAGATGATAGTAACAAATTCCTGTTATTTTTCTGGAATAAATACTGCTTGAATATGATCTATTATTGATACTTTATGTATGTACTACTGAATTCAACTTGCTAATATATACAACAAAATTCATTCATCTTAAGTGTGTACTTTGATGTATTTTGGTTATTTTATATGTTAGGTAATCTCCACCTACAGAACATTTCCATTGCCCTAGAAAGCTCCACAGTGCATTAATAGTTGCCATCTCCAGCAATGAAGATCTTTTCTAGAGCTTCATATAAATGGAACAATATATAGTCTTTTGTGTTTGACTTCTTTCTTTAAACATGATGTTGTGAGATTCATCATGGTGTTGCATATATTAACAGCATATTTATTAGTATTGATCAGTAGTATTCCACAGAATAGCTATACAATAATTTGCTTATCTCTTCACCAGTTGATAGACCTATAAGTAACACTCAGTTTTTACTCTGTAGTGAATAATGGTGCTGTGGACATTTGCTTGCAAGTCTCTGCAGGCATGTTTTCATTTCTTTTAGGTAGATAGCTAGTAGTGAGATGTCTGGGAACTATGAGAAGCGTATATTTAACTTTAGGGGATACTGCCATTTGTTTTTTCCAGAGTAGCTATTATCGCCTTGCATTTCTACCAACAATTAGTGAGAGTTTAAGCTGCTCCACATCATCACCAACACTTAGAAATGTCAGCCTTTTTAATTTAAGCTATTCTCATGGTTGTGGCTTTAATTTGTATTTCCCTAGTGATTAATATTAATGATGCTAAGCATCTTTCCATGTGCTTATTGGCCATTTGTATTCGTATGTCTTCTTTGGTGAAGTGCCTTCGTATCTTGCTTATTTTTTTAATTGGTTGATTGTCTTCTACTTGATAAGGGCTTTTTATGTATTCTGAATATGAACATATGTCAGATACGTTTGGCAACTAGCTTTTCTCAGTCTATGGCTTGCCTTTTCTTTTGTTTTCCTTAGTTGCCTTTCAAAGAGCAGAAGTTTTTTCTTTTATGGTTGTGCTTCTGTGGTCTGTTTTAAGAAATTGCTGCTTAATCCAATGTCACAAGTATTTTTTGTTCTCATGTACAGTTTTAGTAATTTGATCTCTTACATTTAGATCCATGATCCATTTCAAGTTAATTTTTGTCTATGGTATGGTATTTGTAATGGTTAATGTTTCTGTGGCCCCACCGCCCCACACACACACACCCATGTAGTTTTGATCCAGACCATTTGTTGAAAATACTTTCCTTTCCCTGTTGAATTAACTTGGCACCTTTGTGGAAAAGAGTTAACTACATAAATATGGGTCTGTTTCTAAACTCTGTTCTATTCCATCGATCTATATGTCTGTTCTTGCATCAATACCACAATGTCTTGATTTTCACAGTTTTAAGTAAATCTTGAAATCAGAAAGTTTAAGTCCCCCAGTCTTGTTCCTCTTTTCAGGATTATTTTAACTATTCTAAGTCCTGTGCTTTTCCACTTAAATTTTTATATCATCAATTTTTGTTGTTGTTGTTTTAGTTTTCAGTATACTAGTTCTGTGTACTAATTTATATATCTTTTTGTAAATCTAACCATGTGCTTTTGGAAAGAATGTGTTAGGTATCTACACTTTTATAATTGTTATGTCTTCCTGATTAATTGACTATTTTATCTAATAAAATGCCACTTTATAACTCCAGTAATGCTCTCTTTTGAAATCTGTGTTATCTATATTAATATAGCCCATTCCCATCTTCCTGTGGTTATCATCTGCATATATTTCTCCATAATTTACCTCCAGCCCACCTTTGTGTTTTTATTTAATGAGTTTCTTATAAATAGCGTATAGTTGGATCTTGTTTATCCATTCTTAATCTCTACATTTTAATTGGAGAATTTGTCCCAAGAGATTTAATGTCATTAATTATATGATAAGATTTGTATTTTTCATTGTTTTTGTTTCCTCTTTGACTCTTCTGTTCGTTTTTTTTTAATTTGTTCTTTCCTTTCCTGTTTTTTTAATGACTATTTCAATAGTTTTTAGAATTTCATTTTCGTTTTCCTTTTTAAGTATTTTAAGTAAACTATTTCTATTGTTTTTTTAGTGATTGCTGTAATGATTGTAATATACATTCTTAACATTTACACTCACAGTTGCTAACTTTGTATAAAGATTTTGTATCTATGTTTATAGCCGCTGTTTTCTTTTCATGTTCTCTTTCAGTTTAGATATCTATGGTATATCAGTTTCTGTTTTTTGAAACAGTTTAAGAGTGAGTTGTTTTTCTTTTGTTTTTTGGCCATGTGGCTTGTGGGGTCTTAGTTCCGCCACTGGAAATCAAACCCTGACCCCCTATACCAAAAATACAGAGTCCTAACCAGTGGACTGCCAGGGAATTCCCGAGAGTTTTCTATTTAATGGGATAATCTTCCCAGTATTCTCATGGTTTTTTAAAAAATTAGTCTCATCTTTGTGTGCATTTTCTAACTTTTTAAAACTTGTTTTTCTAGACAGTTACCTTTTAAATCTTTCAGCTACTATTTTTTAGCATTTGATTCTATTAATCCTCTCTCTGTTTTGTTTTTAGTTCGTTAATTTCTGCTCTTGCATCATTTGCTTCCTTTAGCTTTCTTTCAGTTTTGTTTTTTTTTATACTGTTAAATTCTCTTGTTGCCTGTGAGCAGTTTGC